CAGTGCATTACTAATCTGGTAAATTGTTTCCTGAGCTCTTTCAGGTCTAGAATAGGTTATAACAAGCAGACACATTGCTCAAATTAAGAACATTTTGAAGGCAAAAACTTCCACAGAAAGAAATCCTGAGGATGGGTTTACCTCCCCTGCCAATGCCTTGCTGCTGGCAGGTACTTTCCATCTGACAAGCTCCAAACTCATTGCAAACACGAATGACCGAAGGTCTCAAGACTAAGCTCTCAGCAGGTAACTGCCATTATACCAATTCTGATCAAAAATGTCAGCCTCTGAGCAGGCAGGCAGTTGGCTGCAGACTGGGAAATGAAGCCCAGAGTTCTGGGTTTGAACTATGCTTTGAATATTTCATATTTGACTGGTTTCTGACTCTTCATCTTCCCTGCCTCCTTCCCCACATGGACATACACTCCTGGCAGATGGTATTTGTCAAGCTCATGCTTGACCCATTTGGATGTTCTTGACAAACCAGGCCAACAGCACTGGTGCCATGGGGACCCAGTGAGGGGCCACTGGAGGACAGGTTGAGGGCCTGACGCATCATTCGGGCAGGCCAAGCCTGGAGAGCCTGGGGGAAAGTAAAGCTAAACAGGAGGCAGAGGAAGCAGAAGAGTCTGCTGGTGAGATTCCTCCCTTTGCCTCCACTTTAGAGGTCCTGCTGTGAAGTGCAGTGTGTGGGACAGTTCTTCATCACCACTACGAAAATGAACTGAGATCCCAGGTTGAACATCTATATAACAAACCGGGGTGTATCAAGTCAGTAGTACAGTTTCTGAAAATCTCTGCTACATCTGGCTTCTCTTAGAAAAAGCCCAGTATTTGTAGAGAAAATGCAACTGAAAACCACTGTTTGTGTACATTAACAGAACAGTCTTAAAGACAGGAATTTTTTTAAACATAAAAGACAAGGAGGAGCAAACTATTAAAAACAGGTCAGCAACAGACTTGGGAACATCCTTGCAATGAGATGTAGTCCTGAAAGCTTCAGCCATATAAGCAATGCATAAACTGGGAGTGCTGGGCTCTCTTCAGTCTTACTTCTATTAAAAAGAAAACCAATGGAAATTACCTGTTCGTGCATGGCAGCAGCACGTCACCTATCTCCTATGAAATCGCACCATGTTTAGCTTATGACGAGGGAAGGGAGTTGAGGGAGGTGGAGGAAGATACGGGGGTGGAAAAAGGGGGAGGCAGGGAAAGTTAGAAAAAAAAATATCTCTGCCTCAGCAAAAGTTTTCATTAAAATTTTAGACAAATGATCTCTGTGTCCTTCTCCCATGCTGCCTGGGGCTCCATGCTATTTCTATGCAAATAACAACCTCGTGGTTTATATCTTATTATTTCCACTGGAGCTGCGGCGACATGACCCGAGACGTGTGCAAGGTAGACAGCAAAAGAGAGAGAGAGGGAGAGAGAGGGAGAGGGAGGGAGGGCGATGGAGTGGCTGCTTGCTGAAGTGTGAAAAAATATTGTCAGGAGTGAGCAGCAAGAACAAAAAAAAAATTGCAGGGATAACGTGTTTATTTCAGCCCCTCTCCCCATGTGAACCAGCACCTTTTAAAATTCATTGGGCATCAGGCGATCATGCACAATCCATCTGCTTTCACTTTATCATTTGCATTTCATGCCTCCTGGCTTTTGATGTGCTGATACTTTGATGCAGTCAGGAGACGCGCATTATCATTATTTCAATTTCCAGGGGGGTCAGCGGGCTTAGCACAGGCACGCGCACACGCTCACAGGAGAGGAATGAAATGTCATTTCCACCTCTCCACCCCCTGCTGAAATGCAGTGGTGAAGACAAAAGGGGTACGGATGAAATGCAGCCCTGGTGCCCCCCACACCAAGCACTGTCCCCACCACGGAGCACCGCACCTTTCCCCCAGGTCCTTCCCTTGCCCATCGGTCTGGACTATCAACTCAACAAAGACAGCTTAATCAGGAGCAGAGGGAAGCCTCTTGCGCAGTTTCTTGTCACCCTGACAGGCAAGGGGGCTGAGAGAATCCCTAAACCCACCTGATACCAGGTGTCTTCCAGTGATATGGGTCTCTACTTACAGCGCAGTGACACGGATGCAGTGAACGGCCAGCACATGATTATTCAACCTCCAGAACCAAACACTACCTTCAGCTAAAAGTGACACTGACCTTCAGCTCATTGTCTAAGTCACAGGTTACAGTCTAGCTTTGGCAGCTGGACCTTTCCCTCTACACCTAAACCCTCAGGCTAGTTTTACATAATGATAATGAACAAGACCAGCAACAGATCTGCTGGAACCTAATGTTTGTCACAGCCTCCCTCTGCTCTCCTTGTAAATTAAAAAGAATCCAGTATTTCACAGGAGAAAAAAAATACATTAAAAAAGTCAAACAACTTTCCAGAAAAAGCCTCACTGCTCTCTATAGCCCAATTGGCTTGGTTGTTGCAGAAATATTTTTGCAGTGCACATTGTCTTCTTGCAGAGAAAAGACAAGACGTACGCAGACGCAAGACTACGTGTAAGCTTTGTGCAGCATCCTCTGTGAAGATAGCAATTAAAAGTCAGCAATGGAAAAAAATTGTCCCAGATCTCTGGCTTCTAACTGGGAAAAGCTGAAGGAATATTTGCATGCAAGTGTGTTAGAAAGCATTCACTTCCAACTGTCATACAAGGCAGCAGTTTTCATTTATCTTTGCTTCATTCATGTTCTTTCCTTAACACTCTGCCAGTTGGATGCATGACCTTCTAATCCCCACAAAGTAAGGCACTCTTCCCACCATCTACTCTAAGGGAACCAGAAGCAGCAAGGCTCGCTTGCTCCATGGGGAGAAACTACAACAGGTTTCCACCATGAGACTCTTCTGGAGTTTTATTCACATAGACAAACAAGAAAATATCATACATCATGCCCAAACAGCCCCTGTATTTCTACAAGAGAAGACTTCACTTAATTAGCCTCTGGCTGATAAAGACCTGACTTCTAGCCAAAATAAATTCAAAGTGCCCATCTGAATTCAAGGGAAAAGTGATTAACAGTTTACATATAAGAACAGAGAGACAGGAGATAGGTGTGAAGTAGATACTGTCTCCATGGCAGGACGATACAAACGCATTAGCGTTCACCATTTGCTTCACACCCTCCTTAAGATCTCAACTGGACTAAGCTTGGGCATTTCAGGTTAGCACTGGGCAACATTTCACTACTTCAGACATACTTCTGGGACACAATTATAGCTGGATCCATTTGTAAAGCTCTGACCAGAACTGCAGGGACTGAAAAATGAAGATTGCGTGAACTAGCAAGGACAGGCAGACTTACTGGTGGGCCTGGTCTTAGCTGTCTTACTGGGAAAGCTGGATAGGAAGCAATAGGCTCTTCCTTTGCCTGATCTTTAGGCAGGTGACGTTTCAGTGCCTACATAAAAATATGTGCCTTTCCAACATAGCAGGGAGGACAGAAGAGGACACATGGGATTACTCAGCCCACTGAAATTCTTGAGATAGGATAAGTCACCCCCAGAAAGCACCTCCTTCTGCCTATGCCTGCTGAGAGTCTTAATTTAGACTAAATCCGTAATATTTAAGTGCCTAAAGTTTAGTGGGATTCATCTAGTTCTGTAAAAACAAACAAACATTCACTCCACGGGTAGAGAGTGCTGTTAAACCTGGGAAGAAGAAAGCAGAAGAGGACTAAACAGACTGGCCCTGCCATCTGGGAAACTCTGCAGGGCCCCGATCCCCAACAAATGACAGCTGGAACCATGCAACTTACTCCACTTCAGCAAGCACTAAACTGACTCAATTTCTTTTTAAATGATGGATCTTCAAATGCCTCTTTTCCTTCCATTGATGCAGGTGTGTGTGATGTGTGTAAGAGATCTAACAGAGGGTGCTGCATCCTAGAGTTGATAGGATCAATGCTTCATTTTCTGCAGAGCCCCCTTTATTCAGGGGAATAATTCAACGAGAGACTATTTTCCTTTTATCTCCCATTGTCAGGCAGGCACTCCTTGAAACGCAGCTTGCGATGAAGCACAACCACCCCAGGTGCTGGAGAGTGCCTGAGAACAAAGCTGCACAATGGGGAAGGGCACTCGCGCCCGCGCAATCCCAACTCCCACGCAAACAAAGCCCTCGGTGAGAGGGACAAGAGCGGAGTCAGCCGTGAGCCGTGTCTGCTGCAGACAAGGAGCTGGAGGCTGTGATATTAACAAGCTTGGGGCAGCAAGGGAGAAAACCTGCCTCTGGTGGGGGAAAAAAAAAATAAAGGAGAGCCACTTTAGTAGTGAAAGCTGTAAGTTTTCTTACAGCCTGAGTTACTCCTCCCTGCCCCCCATAGCTGAGATTTCCAGCAGGTCTGATCCCTTGCAGATCACCATCCACACACTCTTACGCAGGCTTCGGTGCTCCCCCAGTATTAATGCAATGCTGCAGATGGCTGAAAGTTCAGGGTGATCCTGGCCCACGTATTTTGAAACACGGTTTCTTCCAGCCACCAGAAACAGCCCTGTTTCCTCTATCACAGTACACAGTGGGTGGGAGAAGATGCTACCCAGTCAGTGGGCTTCTCCACTTCTGTCATGTACTCACTGCACACAGCCTACATTAAAAGCTGCTGCTTCTTCTTCCTTTTCACCTGGTTCATGCTCAAGCCCTTAAATGCGCAGTTCTACCCAGGTCCCCTGCCAACCTCCAACCAGGATGCCTGGAATAGTGCCTCTGGCTGTCAATACAATGTTCTTGTCAAGAAAAGCAGGTGCATGAAAGGGCTGCTTTCTGAGCACAGAAGAAAAGAAAAAGACTGCAAAGGCATGAAAGTTTCACAGCTGCTGCCCTATGTCAGTTCTTCTCCTTGATTGGGAGCAGCCCAAGAATGGAGAGAGCAAAAGGGACCAAGCACAACCACCGCTATAGCAGTGGTGGCTTCTTGAGTCTCTGGCAGAGCTCACAGAAAAAAAACAACTCACTTCACACAGCTCTCGAGACCAAAATGCAAGAACTTACTTTGTTGAGGGCTCCACAGCCAGTAAGGATGATATGAGAGTTCTCAACCTGGATCGTCCTCTGACCTAGCCGAACAAGGTAAGCCCCAATTCCGATGGCCCGACATGTAACCTTAAGAAAAAAAGTCACATTGATTTTTGTCTTACCACACAGCCAAAACCTATCAATTCAAACATCTAGATAAAACTAGGCATGTTTGTATTACAAGTCTATAAAATCTCCTCTCACTGCAAAACTCCAGAATCTATTTTTCTGTAAAACACAGTATCTGAATGCATGTGTATTTTATTTTAAAAAAGAGAAGCAGTAACTTACAGACTGAGCCAACATGGCGCCAAATGAGTGTTTTCTAGAAGTGTTTTAATTTTTATCTGTAAGGGACCCAGCTCTGTAATGGTGTAAATAGCATTGCTCAAAGCCTGCAGGAGCCAATTTACATCAACCAGAAGTCTGATCCCAGATGTACCTTCTGGGTATCGCTGCAGGATTTTTAGCTGAAACAGACAATGCAGTTTGAAGAACAGAAAGCAGTGGGGGATTACCAAGTTGATGGTGATAATACTCTCATATGCTAAAGATGATTCTCCAGCAATCATGCCAGATCCTCTGAGGTTCTCTATTCCAAGTCCGTCTTCCTTTCCAATAATATCTGTTATCTTATACCTGGGGGAGACACATACAGCCTTTGAGTCACAAGGTCCAGTGATTTGCTGAATCAGTTTGCTATGAACAAAATGAGAAGTGACTATCATTAAGGCTCTAAAGAGTAATGTGCATAAAACCCGCTCAGTGCCTGTGCATGGGCTCATTCTGCAGCTTTGCCAACCATCATCTACCTATGAGCAGTTGAAGCAGCATTGCAAAGAGGAAATGATAAGGAAGAGGAATGCCTGTGAAAAGTGTTCTCCTGCCATTCCCACATGATGTGAGGAGCAGGCTGATTATAAGAAAAAGAGCAAGGAAGGAAGGGAAGGCAGGCGAAACGAAAAATAAATAGAACAAGAGATGACAATGAGGCCCCTACCTTTTTTTTTTACTTTCTTCTTTCACGCCTTCCTTCCCCTTCCGTCCCTTCTCAGCCAGCGCTCTCAGACTGTCTTCTGTCTTTTCCACTAGGCCCTTGCTAAGCAAAGTACTTGAGCACGTGCTTACATGCTTCACTGAAGAGAGCCAATAGCTTCCCCACCACACACGCAGGCACACACGTGTCCTCACACCCAGTGCCACCCTTTTGCTCTTTCAGAGCTTGCCAGTCTGCAAACTAGGTTTCTTTTCTTCTTTTCCTAAGCACAACCTCCTCCCTCTGCCCAGGAGCACCACTGCAGCTGCAGTCTAGCTCAGAAGGCTTCTTTGCACCTCAGATGTGCTACCTTTAGAGTGTAGCTAGGAAGATGCAGACACCCAGAGTAGACATGCACGTGGAAAACCACAGGCTGTAAAGGCAGTTTAGTGCAACCACTGTAGTCCAACCCTTCAAAACACACAGAGGGCTTTGCCTTCACTCAGGAATTCTTTCAGCCTTGCTACAGAATCTAGCAGAAAAGTAATTTTTTTAATTTAGACTGCAAGTCTTTGAGCAAGATCCACTGTCTGGGTCATGCAGCGTTTATCGGCAATACCTCAAACAAGGTATGTCACAGTACAACTCTCAGCTCTGTTGTTCCTTGCTCTGACCACAGAAAGCTATGGATTTCTACATATCTGGATCCTAAAGGATGTCCTAGCTGAAGACAAGGACGTGACGTGCACCACCTCGCATACCCAAGGATGAACAGAAAGAGTTTTTCATTCTGACCTGGCTGGGCTTACCTGGACTCTCCATTGTCTTCCACATGTTCACAGTGAACTGAGTTCAGGGCACTGACTTTCTTATAGTCTTGAGGAGTCAGGTACAAGTACTTGTATCCCTGTAGGGAGGAACAGTTCATTCATCTCATTCCCACCTGCAGTCCCTTCCCGATCCCCAAGAAGCCCTTCCAAAAGGAAAGTTTCAAGGGAGCAGAATTAAATTCCAGCTAGCACTAAGAACATAGTCTCTGAACACTGGAGCTCCAGCTGAGGTTGGTGAAAGCCAGGGATATTTTCAAAATTTAGGACTAATTCATTCTGGATGCCAACCTTGCTGCCTGAGAGATCCAATACCAAGGAGAACTTTGGAACTAACAGTCTTGCAAATATTTACCTCACCTCTATGAAAAGAGGTGACGTGAAAATAAGACTCTTTTGTGAGCTACTGCTGAGTTTCACCTCTGATTCCTGCATCTCCTTACCTTGTACGGGTCATCTGGGTCTTCCCAAGCTACGTGGAACATGTGCCGAATCTCCTCAGCCAAACCAATCCTGGCTCCACTGTTGGCAGCCACATAGATACGGGGGATGCCATGCGTTCGAGCAAGCTCTGAAGCTCTCAGGAACAGCACATCCTCTTGAGGTCCAAAAGAACCTATTCTGTATGTAATGTCATTGCCAATGACAATGATATCACGGCCTTCTGGATACTCAGGGGTCTTGAGAGTCATCTTCCAGGCCACCATCCCAATCTGCAATGAAGGAGCAGAGAACAACAAAAACTAAATGTGTATCTTCAAGACATGAAAGAGGGGAGACACACAGGGGCCGTTTTTCTTATGTGTATTGCACTTTGGATATTTTCTTTGGGAACTCTGATAACAGCAGCTCTGCCATGCACCGCCAGTGTAGAGCACAGCTGGCAGGACTTGATCCTTTCCACACTCACTGGAGCACAACCTCCACTGCTCTCTTCCCACCCAAGACACTAACACCAGCCCTCCCTCTCTCCAGGCAGGGATTTGTCACAGGTCCAGAACACATTCTGCAAATGCCCCTGGCGCAGAGTGCTGCCTTTATCTGTGTGCCAGAGCTCCCAGGGGAGGATGGACGTGCTGCTGTACAGGACTCCTGGCCATCTGCTTAGGCTACCCAGATACCACCCCTGAACCTCATCCCCCTGATTCTCTCTCATCCTGCCCTCATTTTAATGATAATTTCATTTCATAACTACCTCATTTCTTTCCCTCCCCCATCTTTCCTTTCTTTCCTTTGGTTATTCCCTTTTTCCTTCCCAAATACTACAGCAGTTTCTTTCCAAATCTGCCTGGATAAGTAACACTTTTTGCTATATATTTTTCTGTTCAAAATCACTGAATGATCTCTTCTGGCCCATCTTATGGAGATCAGCAACATCTGTACCCTGCACCTCTCATCTCTCAGCTGCCGCGTGTCACTGCGCAAGGGAGCTGGCCATCCTGGAATGCCATTAACAGATGGAAATAGCAGCGTCTCTTGAAAGCCACATGCATCACCCAGTCTCCACTTGCCCAAGGATCATAAGCTCTGAGTACACATTTCTCAAGCCAATTGCACATCCTCTGCAATCAGGAGGGTTGAAACTCTCATTGTGGAGACTCTGAATTCTGAACATGATGAACTAAAGCGGGAGGGGGAGAGAGGAGAAGCAGTAGATAGATATGTGCCATTTAATCCAAATCAAAATGGCACAATACACATTTGAGATCCAATCAGCATCTGCAATAAGATATGCCATAACAGACTCATTAAAAAAAATAAAAAGGCAGAGGAATTAATCAAAGGGTCATTGGAACTGAAGCAGGCAGCAATCCAAAATATATTACAACCAGCTACTGGCAGATCCTTCCCTTACACCTCCTTTTCTGAGAGCTGAGATTGCAAGTTAATAAAATGACGGTGTTTCAGTTCACCTTCTCTGTGGTCTCAGTTTCATCCACTGCTATTTTGACTGGTATGTCATAAGGGATTGTTTGCCTCTGAATATTTGCAGATTTACAGTTACATCTTAGCATTCAACTGCGGTGTTTGGAAGAGAGAGATACTGCATAAATCCCTAAAAGTCAGTGGGATGCTTTGTTAAAATACCAGTATTATTAGAAAATTAAAGGGCAAAGCTGTAATGCCGTAAAAACAAGAGGGTGCTGCTGTTGGTCAGGCACACAGACCAAAAGAGGGTGCAAAGAGACCAGGGGTCACACAGACCATCAGTCCCTAAATCATCCCAAACCAATCTACACAGCCAGCGGGGCTCTTTGGACATCTGTCCTTCCACTACTGGATGTTCACAGCAGAAAATAGAAGAATGAAGGGGAAAAATGGAGAAGAAAAGTAAGCTTTGTCCTTCTGATCTGACTGTTGCAGGAAAACGGATGTCAGGGACTGGATGTTGTGCCTCTGTTCTAAGTCTCAACTGTGGGCAAGCTTGCAACTAGAAACAGCAGATTAAAAGTCTGCAAATCCAAAGTTAAAGACTTCAAGATTAATCTAAGAAGTAAGGGATGCCCATCTACTCTCCATCACCTACTGGAGCTCAGGTCCTTACCACATTTTACAGGCTTTTTTTGCTGTCACTAAATTCCTTAAGTGGACACTTACCAAATCTTTCTAATATCACCTCAGAAACCAGCTTTCGTTATTGGTAGAAACTCACAGGGAAGATGGGATAATACTCTCTTTAAAACTGCACCGTAAACTCCTTCCGAAATAGCACAGAAGTAACACAGATTTACAGGTGCTCGCCTAAGCGGCCACATCCTCACAGCTGCACTGAGGCCATCGGCCAGGACCATGCCAGGAAGCTCCAAGAGCCATCAGATGAACACAAGTCACTCAAGCAACAGCAGAAACGCTCGGGCTTTCTCTTAGCTAAATATTTGTCACTGCAGTAAAATGCAAGATTAGAAACACATAAAGACACTGCCAGAAACCTACACAATAACCACAACGCACTGGAAGTAAATTAACATTTGCTCCAGGGCTCGGGGACTCGTGACCAAGCTTGGTTAGTGGCCAGGATGGGTCCCACACTCTGTCTTACCTATCAAAGTATAAGAGATTTTCCTCACTTTCATTGGCTTCATGACTTTTGACAGTAAACAGACAAATTAAAAGTATTTCCTATTTAGAAAATTCAGATTGTAAGAGAGGTCTTTGAAAAGTTCCCTAACCTGAGATGACGTAACCTTTACATAATTAAACCTCTCTCGTTAATGCTCACTAGTGGAATAGGAAAAACTATTTCGCCAGGGCACAGTAAACACAAACTCTGAAAACAGTTTATAATTGATAAGTGCGGAGCAACCATACGTTGTTAAAGAGAAATTAAATGTACTATTTTATTAACTTGTGTGTCTTTTTGCCTCCCCAACACATTGTGTGTTTTCTGCCACTTAGTCGGTAATAAAAATCACTGGGCACAGCTAAGGATTTTTTTACTACGAACAATGTAGATTCCATTTAAATGTATGGGTAGTGGAGGATAGCTTTCTATTTCAGGAAAAAAAAGAAGATATTTTTAAGTTAATGGCAGCATGCCAAAAAAATGGAGAGTTCACAGGTTAATTAGACAGGCTGAGCTAATCACCTAAGAGCACTGTCAGAACAATAATGGGTGATGGTAAGCGTCAGCAGCTTCAAAACAGGCTCTTTTTAAGAGCCAGCCCAGTTTGGAGGGGCTTCTACCACAGCTCAATTCCCAGCAGACCCAGGAATGAAGGAGAGAGGGAGGAAAAAAAAAAATAAAAGCAGGAACCGTCTTATTTAACTGTTTTTATGTTGGCAAAATGATTTGTGCCACAGTATTTCCATAAGAAGTGGGACCATTATTCTCCTGTAGGAACACATTTGGTTTGAAAAGTATCACTGGACAGAACGTGGAAATCAAACCAGATGAATTATTCACAACCTCTGATCAGAAGTGATCATTATTTCTGATGTTCCAAACTGTGATTAGGATTCAGCGCTCAGATGTCATTTGCTCCCTGAATAGCACCAGCAATGCAGAACTGTGTGACACATACATATTACACACAAGTTTTATATATATAATTTTATACACACCTTCTCGCACTAGATCTTTGGCTTAATGTAACCATTAACAGATAGTAAAAGCACGATATTAACTAACGTTCGTTTTCATGGCGCCCATAAATGCCATTAGTTTGACACACAGTGTCAACACTAATCATGGCCTAAAATTAACACCAAAATTGACTTCAACATTAATTGCGCTATCGATGTGAACAGTAATACACACACTGATGCAGTTACAAATTGACTGCTAGCAGCAGCTGGAGCTGTTGACAACAGGCACCGAGGGGAATGGGGCAGAAACCAGTCCCAGTGTCCCTCCTGGCAGCTCAGCAGACCTCGAGGGAAGGGGAGCCAATGCAGACGGTGGTGGTGCTCAGGCCCAGGGAGCTTTTAAGCCACTTTCCAGCCAGATTGGTAATTCCTGGCAAAGGGTACCTGACAGAAAATCTGATGCAAATGATAACAGCTTATTATTTGACAGCATCTATGTTTGAGCCATGCCAATTGTGTTGGTTTATTCCATTTCTCTCGCAATAAGGATGAGGCTTGAGCCTAGGGACTTTATCCCACGCTTTATTTATGTCCAAATTTGGAAACCCGAATGGGGTCTCAAAATCTCTAAGTAGGACAACTGAACTCAGAAAACTCCGACAATGTTTTTGTCGTTTTCCCATTCTGTTGCATCAGGATCATATTTAGGTTTTGTATGTAAAAAAATACATGTAAAACATGAATACACTTGTATGTCAGTATTTATTACATACAGAAGTTATAAGAAGAATGGAAATACAACAGTTGCAGCAGCCTAGCACTGGAAATGCCGCAGCTGAACATCTGTGAAAGCACATTTCTTCCCTGCACGTTGTGACACTGCTAAATCAGGGAACACGTGCTGTATTCCCCCTTCTCAACCTCCGTCTATTCCGGAGGTAAACCTGTGTCTCCTGAGCCCAGGATGCTGAACCACACTGCTGAAGAGCCATGGAAAGGGAACAAAGACATCCCTAGAAATTTTACTTGCAATTTTGGTATTTCATCATTTGAATCTGACGCCCAGAACTTCAGATCTAAAAGAGAGAGACTCTCTGCCACTTACACTGTGACCAAAAGCTGTAAAATTTTATCTTCAGCATGAACCAACCCCCAGAATAAGGGCAGGATGCACGTGGTTTGCCAGAGGCATTCAAGCCTTAATGCCTTGACAAGGGAGGAGTGCCAAAACACAGGATTCCTTCATTCTCTTCTTGGCTCTGTAAAAGGCGCCGTTCAGCGATCAAAGCAGCGGTCACAGGTGGCGCAGCCAAGCACACGCTGGCACAGCTCTTCTGAGCAGCACAGCCAAGCGGATGAGAGATGAGAAGAACTGGTTCCAGGATGAGACACGGCAAAGGCTTGCTCAGAAAACGGCACTGGGCAGGATGAGGGCTGAAGGA